GTGACCACACACAGACCACACCTATCAGGCCACACACACACACACACACACACACACACACACACACACACAGCGGCTGCCTTCCCACACCTTTCCAGGGCAAAAAAACCAGGTCGAGGGAGAGCATAATGTAATACCTGGTTCTCTACTGTGCCTACATTGTGCATTCAGTAAACTGGGATAATGACTATTATAATATTATTTTACACAGGTGTCTCAGCAAACTCGGAACTAGTACACACCCTGAAAAATGCTACTAAGGTATCACATAGTGTGTTTTTATATTGCATTTGTGTATTTTTCACAGCTTTATTGATAATATAATTTGCATAACATAAAGTTCACCCATTTAAATTTTAGGACATTTACAGAGTTGTAAGCCATTACCTTAAATCTAATTTTAGAGCATTTTCATCATCCCCAAAAGAAACTGTTTCCATAGTAGTCATTCTCCTCACCACCCCACTCCCCAGCCTTGGGCCACTACTCTACCTTTTTTCTGCGGGGATTTGTCTACTCTGGATATTTCATGTAAATGGAGTTATAGAATGCGGCCTTTGGTGACTGGCTTCTTTCACTCAGCATAATGTTTTTTGAAGTTCATTTGTGCTAGAGCATGGATCAATACTCATTCCTTTTAATGGCTGAGTAATCTTCCATTGTATGGATGGACCACATTTTGTGTATCCATTCATCGGTTAATGGACATTTGGGTTGTTTCTAGTTTTTTGCTATTATGAATTTGAACATTCGTATACAAGTTTGCATGGACATGGGTTTCAGTTCTCTTGGGTAGGTATCTTGGAGTGGAATTGCTGGACCACATGGTCACTTTGTCTGACCTTTTGAGGGACTACCCAATTGTTTTTCAAAGTGGCCGCACTATTTTTCATTCCCATCAGCAGTGTGTGAGGGTTCTAATTTTTTCACATCCTTGCCAATGGTTGTAATGATGCACATAGCAACTTTTTTTTTTTTTTTTTAGAATTTATTTATTTATTTGAGAGAGAGAGAATGAGAGATAGAAAGCACGAGAGGGAAGAGGGTCAGAGGGAGAAGCAGACTCCCTGCTGAGCAGGAAGCCCGATTTGGGACTCGATCCCAGGACTCCAGGATCATGACCTGAGCCGAAGGCAGTCGCTTAACCAACTGAGCCACCCAGGCGCCCAGCAATTTTTTTTTTATTAATTTTTTTTATTGTTATGTTAACCACCTTACATTACATCATTAGTTTTTGATGCAGTGTTCCATGATTCATTGTTTGTGCATAACACCCAGTGCTCCACACAGAATGTGCCCTCTTTAATACCCATCACCAGGCTAACCCATCCCCCCACTCCCCTCCCCTCTAGAACCCTCAGTTTGTTTTTCAGAGTCCATCATCTCTAATGGTTCGTCTCCCCCTCCAACTTACTCCCCTTCATTCTTCCCCTCCTGCTATCTTCTTGATGCACATAGCAATTTTAACCTGTCTTTCATTTAAGGATTTACCCAAATATAGCTAAATTCTGGTGCTCAGCCATGTGTGTGTGATGGGTCTAAGTAGACCCATCAGGCATTCATTCAACAAACATTTACTCAGCATCTGTTATGTACCAGGATCATGGCCATTCAAGATGATTTTGGTCTTGTGGAGATGGACAAGCACACCAATGATGAGAGTCCTGCCCACCTGCCGGGTTCATGGCAGAAGAGGCTTTGGAAGCATAAAGGAGGAGCATTCATTCTGCAGTACACAGGACAGGATTCTGGGAGGGGGGCATGCTCATGTCTTAAAGTCTTAAGAAGAGTTTTTCTTTCTTTTTTTTTTTCTTAAAGATTTTATTCATTTATTTCACAGAGAGAGTGAGAACACAAGCAGGGGGAACAGTTGAGGGAGAGGGAGAAGCAGGCTCCCCGCTGAATAGGGAGCCCAAGGTGGGGCTCTATCCCCGGACCCTGCGATCGTGACCTGAGCCGAAGGCAGATGCTTAACCATCTGAGCCACCCAGGCATCCCAAGTCTTAAGAAGTCTTAAAGAAAGAAAAGAAGGGGAGCCCGGGTGGCTCAGTCGTTAAGCGTCTGCCTTCGGCTCAGGTCATGGTCCCAGGGTCCTGGGATCGAGCCCCGCATCGGGCTCCCTGCTCCGCGGGAAGCCTGCTTCTCCCTCTCCCACTCCCCCCCTGCTTGTGTTCCCTCTCTCGCTGTGTCTCTCTGTGTCAAATAAATAAATAAAATCTTTAAAAAAAAAGAAGAGTCAGGCAAAGTGGAGGAGTTGGCTGGGGAGAAGGAATTTCAGGAAGAACTAACACTTGCCTAGAAGGTTCTAGAGCTTTGGAGCATGGGGATGCAGGAGCTTCGTAAGGCCGAAGGGAAAGGTTGTGGCTTATAGTGGGATAGTGATCCAGAAAAGATGCTAGAAAGCTAGGCAAGAACATAAACACCTTGTACTTCATGCCAGGCATTTTAATATTATCCTGAAGTCATGGTGCTATAGATGGATTTTGAGGAAGGCAGCAATTGGATTGGGTCTTCATTTGGGAGGTGACCCCAGCAGCAAGGTAGGGAGTATCAGCTAGAGGGAGAGATAACGGGGGCAGGGAGGCTGAGGGCTCTGCCTGGATGTCATGAAGGCCTAGCCTCAGTCTCATGGGGAAGTTGGTCTTGGGGGCGGTGTGCTGTGTTTTCTGGGGGAGCTGCAGTTGTATGAGAGGCCAGCCCAGCCAAAGGCCCTTCCACAAGAGGCAGGTCTGTAAGGGAAGGCAGGGCAGCCTGCAAGCCTCTCAGAGCCTCAGCCGGATCCCAGTGAATAAAGGTCTTTGGTTGTAAGCACCCTGCTTTCACCTGCTGGGCCTACCCCTGAGGCACAGTCTAGGCTGAGTTAAAAGGACAGAGGCAGTCCGAGCTAATCCAGTAACGTGCCTCAGACCACCTCCCTTCCTGCACAGGGTTCCCGGGTCTCACTTGAGGGGGGAGACCCCCATTCTGCTTCATCTTATGACCTCTGCTGTATTTGGGAGGCTCTTTCCCTCCAAAGTCCGACATCCCCCTGAATGGGGTCAGGGTTGTGGTAGAAGGCCCCCATACAGAGCTGGACAGCAGTCCGCAGGGCCAAGTCTTCTTGATGTTAATGAAAATTACCTTATAGGGGCGCCTGGGTGGCTCAGTCGGTTAAGCGTCTGCCTTTGGCTCAGGTCATGATCCCAGGGTCCTGGGATCGAGCCCTGCATTGGGCTCCCTGCTCAGTGGGGATTCTGCTTCTCTCTGCCCCTCTCCCCACTTGTGCTCTCTCTCTCTCAAATAAATTAAATAAAATCTTTTTTAAAAAAGGAAATTACCTTATACATAAATTTATAAACATTTTTTAAATTGTACACACTGTACACCTTAAACTTACACGTTATGTGTTAATAAAGCAAAGCTGGAAAAATAAATAATATTTTTAAATGTATATATACGTTTCTTCTACTTTATTAAATCACACACTCCTTTTGAGGTATCTCTGAAAAATAATCCTCTGATGAAATCATCAGTGGTTGCTTTCCACGTGGCAGTCACTGAAGAAATATTAAATGGTTAAACATTTAAAAATGTTTCTATCTTATTTCATTTTTAAGTGAAATATAACACAAAACTTATGTCTAGAACTCAGGGAACGTTTTTCCTTTAATTTTTATTTTACTTTTAAGTAAACTCTGCACCCAACGTGGGGCTTGAACTCACATCCCCGAGACCAAGAGTCACACACTCTACCGAATGAGCCAGCCAGGCGCCCCTAAGAGCTCAGTGAACTTTTACATATAATCATGCAGATTGACATACACTCATCCCAGAAATTCCCCTTGTGTTTCTTGACACTTACCCTCCCTTCCAAAAGGTTCCTGCTGTTATTCCAACTTTTAACACCATAATCTTGAGCTTCAACTGGAATCATACTTCGTTCACTATTGTGTCTGGCTACTTTTGCTCAGCGTAATGTCTGTGAGCATCATAGATGTACTTGCATTTACCAACAGTTTGTCTGTTTTCCTGCTGATGAACATTTGAGCTATTTCCAGTTTTTGCCTATTAGGTTTAAAGCTGTTGTGAATGTTCTAGCACAGACTTTGTGTGGCCAGATGTATCCATTTCACCCAGAAATTTTCAGGTCATAGGTAGGCATATGCTTAGCTCTGTAGATAGTCATAGATATTGCTGACCAATTGTCCAATTTACACACCCGGGAATGGATTGGACTGTAAAAAAAAAAAGTTTTTGTAAAGTTTATTGAACGTCAGGTCAGAGAAGAAATACAATGCAATGGCACAAATCTAGCTTTAAGTCACATTTTTGAGAGCCGCCTGGCTGGCTCAGTTGATAGAGCGTGCAACTCTTGATCTCGGGGTCATGAGTTCAAACCCCGCGGTGGGTGTAGAGATTACTTAAAATTTAAAAAATAAATAGGGGGGCCTGGGTGGCTCAGTCGTTAAGCATCTGCCTTCGGCTCAGGTCATGATCCCAGGGTGCTGGGATCGAGCCCCGCATCGGGCTCCCTGCTCGGTCGGAGAGCCTGCTTCTCCCTCTCCCACTCCCCCTGCTTGTGTTCCCTCTCTCGCTGCGTCTCTCTCTCTGTCAAATAAATAAATAAAATCTTTAAAAATAAATAAATAAAAATTAAAAATAAATAAGTCACGTTTTTGACATGTGAATAGGCGAGCTATCGTTTTAGCATTTATTTACATTGCAAGTCCCTTTCTGATTGAGATGTATATAATTCACCCTTTTAATTAAGAGTACAATTCAGGGGTTTTTAGTATATTCACAAAAGTGATGCAGCTCCCACCACTAATTCCAGAATATTTTCATCACCCCAACAGGAACCCTTTTATCCATTAGTAGTCACCCCAGCCCCTGGCAACCACTAATCTTGCTGTCTCTACAGATTTGCCCATTCTGGACATTTCCTCTAAATGATGGTTAAACTTTTAAGTTACCATTTCTTTGATATGTTGTTGTTGTTGTTGTTGTTGTTGTTATTTCAGGATCCCAAGCACTTCAAGTCAGAGAAGACAGGACGGGGACAATTAAGGGAAGGCTGGAGAGATAGTCATCAACCCATCATGTGTTCCTACAAGCTGGTGACCGTGAAGTTCGAGGTCTGGGGGCTTCAGACCAGAGTGGAACAATTTGTACACAAGGTAAGTGAACGAATGGCAGTTCCTGGACTGTGGACACAGTGACTGTCTTTACTGTAAGCTGGCGTGCACGACATACAACACATGCCCAGTACTGAGCCAACATGACATCACTGTATCTGGAAAACACTGTTTTTGTGAAAATGCACTTTACATACAGGTTTAATTTGATGCTTTGTATCTCATTTCTCATTCTGTGACCTCGACATCTATTGGCTGAGTATATTCAGGAAGTTAGATTTTCAGTACTAAATACTTCTTCCCTTTGGCGTCAGGCTAATCTAGTTGCAGACAGAAGTACTTGTGCTGGGTACTTGGGTTCCAGGCTGAGGCACGGGGCTGATGTGTGTGTGCGGCCCCCAAGATAATTGTCACTCAAAAGATCCGGCAAATATAGGGGTGCCTGGGTGGCTCGGTTGGTTAAGTGTCTGACTTTTGATTTTGGCTCAGGTCATGATCGCAGGGTCGTGAGATCGAGTCCCACATCAGGCTCCGTCCTGGGCATGAAGCCTGCTTAAGATTCTCTCTTTTCCTCTTCCTCTGCCCCTCCCTCCCTGCTCATGTGCTCTCTCCCTCTCTCTCAAAACAAAACAAAAAAGATCCTGCAAATATAGATACCTAAGGTAAGACACCCCAAGAGACAAAATAAGAAATCCCAGTGGTCCTTTAGATGGTGCACCTCAGTATTTCTGGTCATTTAATAATTCTGTTAACAAAGAATTATTAACAACCTCAAAACACAGATTTCAATTGTATACCCACTTTAGCTAAACATGTTTATTTTGTCGCAGGAACAAGACTTAGTGATGATTTAAGTTTGTTAGGGGCTTCTGCCATGACTCTTACCCTCATGGAAACAAATGGAAAATGCAATGTTGAGCATTGCCCTTTGTAACGCCTCCCATTTTCATAAAAATAAATACTCCCCAAGTTGTCTCTACATTCCAGATAAGCTGGATATCTGTTTATTTTTCCACTTAAAAACTGATAAAGAATAGCTTTCTGAAATTCTTTCAGGGGCCCTGTAATTTAACCATAATGCACTGAGCTTTGTGTTACTTAGATGGATTTGTCTACTAAGATTGGTGGCCAATTGGCAATAACATGTATAAAGTTCTGAGGTCCAAGGAATAGATGGAACTTTGGCTCATGATAATAGCAAACTCTAGAACATATTTGAGAGCTTTGGTGTTTTCTTAAATAGAGAAGTGTGTCGATCTGCTCCTTTGCTGCGCTCCAGAACCCATTCTGCCCACCCAGAAGCAGGAGCCAAGTGAGACACGTGGAAATCAAGTTTGGGGGGACCACCTGTTTCCCTGTGTCCCAAGTTATTAAGCACAAAGATGCTCCCAGAGTAAATATCTTCCAGCCTCAGCTCTGTGTTTGGCTTAGGCTGTATCTTCCTTGACTTCCTGTAACATCCCCCCCCCCCGTATTTTTTTTTAAGATTTTATTTGTTTTTTTTAGAGAGAGACAGAGTAGGAGGCGAGGGGCAGAGGAGAGAGAGTCCCAAGCAGAGTCCACACTGAGCACAGAGCCTGACACAGGGCTTGATCCCATGAACCTGAGATCACGACCTGAGCTGAAACCAAAAGTGAGACGCTTAACCGACTGAGCCACCCAGGCACCCCACCCCCTCTTATTTTTTAACCCAAAATGATCTCTTACTAGGCCACTATATAGTGCACTTAGCATGTCCTCCTTTCACAAGGCCTATTTAGATTGCTGTAGGGCTCACTGTGTTTCTTTTCTCACAGGTGACTTTGGCTAGTTTTGAGATTCTGTTTCTTTAAAATACCTGTAGGAATTATGCTCTAGGAAAAGACCTTCCTATTGCCCATTTCCAAATATAAGGAAGTGTTACCAACGCCCCCAAAACACACCTGCTCTGGCACATGAGTTGCTAATGAGTATATGAGGCTAGTATTTGCATGGTTTTAAAGTACCAGGGACGCCTTTTTCTGAACACCTTTGTTTTTTAAGACTCTATTCACAGTTAAGGGGGAAAAAAAATGTTCGAAAGCGAACCATTAGCACATTATTGAATTCTTGTTTCCAGCAGACAGCTGTGTTGTGCTTAATGTAATAGGGTATGTTTTACTGATGCCCCGATGCTGTTCTTTTCATTTCCCTGAGTTTGACACAGTCAGCATTCAAGTGGGTATGGTTTCATGTTGTTTCTTATTTTCATGACATATTTCCTCCTTCCGCATCATAAAAGCTTCACTAGATATCCAGAGGCGTGGAGAAATAAACACATCATTATAAATGCTTCCCTTGTTTCTGCAAATTCACCAGATTAAAATCTTTCATTTACTGAAACGTGCCTGAACCTTTCACGAAAGGTTTTTGACAATTGCTAGATTTGTTTGGCAGGAAGAAAGGAATGTTGAAGGGAGCGCGTGAGTATCCAAGAAACGTAACACAGCGTATTTATAGAGGACACCAAGAATACCATAAACTCAAGGCACATGAACAGTGTTACACACACACAAACTATGGATCTTTCTTAGTCTCCTAGGGCCATTATGTGTCACCGTAAGAAACAATTTCATTCCTTTTGTCTCTGTTTGTCTCTTAGTATTCCCATTATGTTCTATGCTAGTTGAGGTCTCTATTTTATTTCTGTCAATAATAGTTGACTAAATTGCTTTTTTCCCCCTCCTACTACATGAAAGTCACGCCCAAAAAGATATTTACTTATCTTGTAACCCACACCTTCAAATATTAAAAAAAAATTTTGACCAATATTTAGGATATTTCATCAGAGAAGACTAAGTGCTCTTTGCTTAGAAGTCATTTGCTACCCAGAAAAGCATTCTTGATTTCCAACATTCATGACCTCTTAGCAATAGTGAGAGACGACACCCTCCCACAAATGAAAATTTGAACCTGTTTCAGGTAAAGATAAAGGAAGAGGGGACACCTGGGTGGCTCAGTCGGTTAAGTGTCTGCCTTCGGCTCGGGTCATGATCCCAGGGTCCTGGGATCAAGTCCCGTGTCAGGCTCCCTGCTAAGCAAGGAGCCTGCTTCTTCCTCTCCCTCTGCCCCTCCCCATGTTCATGCTCTCTCTCGTTCTCCCTCTCAAATTAATTAATTAATTAATTTTAAAAAAATAAACGAAGAGAAAAAGCTCAAGCCTAGAGATTCATTCCAGTCATTGCTGTGTGCCTGCCAACCAGTTGTCTTTAGTGTGTACCCCTCCCAGTTCAACTTTCAATGAAGATGAAGAGATTAATTTACAGCAAGTGTAGCACACCATGAAAGGGCTGAGCAGGTGAGCGAGCCCATGATCTGTGTATGTGAGACTGTATTTGCCATCACATGGACAGAGGGATGGAGAAATTTATAATTGCCAGGATTCCTAGAATTGGGAACAGTCTATTTTCCAGGTAGTTCTCATCAAACATGGTATTATTTCAACTTCCTTCTTTTACTTTTTGTAGGTGGTCCGGGATATTCTGCTGATTGGACATAGACAGGCTTTTGCATGGGTTGATGAGTGGTATGGTAAGTCACCTTCCCCAAAATAACTTCCAGAACAACTTCATAACCTGTTGATTTGGGCTTCAGTCCATCTGGCTTCAAATGCTACCTAAAAAGACAACAAAGGCAGGACTGTAGCCCCCTGAAGTAGAAATAGCACTGTTTGTGGAACATGATGGTGGAGAATGTAATGATAGAAGCTTGGTCTAAAATAACCATGATACAGCTGACCCTTGAGCAACACGGGTTTGAACTGTGTGAATCCACTTATATGCAGATTTTTTTCAGTAATTATAGTACTATAAATGTGTTTTCCTTATGATTTTTTTTCCTCTTCCTTGTGATTTTCTTAATAATATTTTCTTTTCTCTAGCTTACTTCATTGTAAGAATATAGAATTGATTACATAGAGTGTACAAAATATGTGTTAATCCATTGCTTATGTTATCAGTAAGGCTTCCGGTCAACAGTGGGCTATAAAGCAGTTAAGTTTTGGGGGAGTCAGAAGTGATACGTGGATTTTCATTTTGGTGGGGGAGAGGGTGTGTGTTGGCGTCCCTAACGCTCTCATTGTTCAAGGGTCAACCGTACTTCGTTATTGACTAATAAGTAGGACCTCAGTATGTTTGATGCTGGCATACCTGATAACACAGGGCTCCAAAATTCTCTCTTGGACGGGTTTCAAGCCCATCCTAATTTATCCCAAACTTTGATTCAAGATCAAAACTGTCTGAAGCATCATATCAAGTAAAAGCAGTCCTTTGATTCAGAGAACACTTGAAACACCCCCTCACCAAAAACATGAGGATTCTGCAAGAATTCAAAGGCAGAGGCATATAGGTGCCCCTTCATCCTAACTGAGACTATTGTGGCTTCTTTCTTTCTTTCTCTTTTCTTTCTTTCTTTCTTTTCTTTCTTTTTCTTTTCTTTTCTTTCTTTTTTTTTTTTTTCATGATTTGGGAGGAGTGAAACAAGTTCTGTACATTTCCAGTAAATGAAGATCAGGTTTGCTTCATCCCATGATGGATGGACCACCCTTTCCAGATCCTCAAGCACTGTTGCTTGGTCCACACAAATCTCCTACATTCCCAGAATCAGTTGTCAGAGGCTAGTGTCCTTGACTATAAATAGAAACGAACACACCCAGTTGGTGACTTGGGTTGGATCTGATCGTCTAATGAAATGCCCTCCTCCTTGGCCTCTCCCTAAGTCACATTGAATTTGTTCCGAGTGTAACCTAGATTGCATTTTGGTGCTTTTCTGTCATTGTTCCAGCAATCCCTCCCTCCCTCTTAGCAGCAGGTATCACATTTGAAGTGAAAAGCTACATTGGACTGAACCGGTAAAGACAACGATGTTGTTAGCTATTTCTGGGCCACATTTAAAAGACGTGGTTCTGCAGGGTTTTGTTTTTTTGTTTGTTTGTTTATTTGGGGTTTTTGTTTTGTTTTATTTTTTGCATTTTTCCTAGATCCGCATCTTCGAAGAGCACATGCATCTTCTTGGGTTTGTCCAAAGGCAGACCTCTGGAAGAGATTTCTTTTGAAAGATCGTCATTCCTTTCTTACACCGCCAGCCCCCCATGGCCCCCCAGGACGCTGCTTGCATGCAGCAGGTACCTTGGCTTGCCACATTTTCATGACGTCTCCCATAGTTGTCTTTGTGAGGCAGGTAGAGGGAGAGTCTGCTGTGGTGACTTCCCCTGATGATGAAACAAATCTTTCTGGTTGGTTTTTTGGTTTTTTGTTTTTTTTTTTCCAGGGGAGCTTTTCTCAGATTCTTAGAAAGGGAGCAGAGACCTTAAGAACTACTGGTCTCTCCCAACTTGGGCTCCTCTAAGCTCATGGTGTCCTTGCCACCAACACTAAGGGAATATCAGATGGATATTCAAAAATTAAATTGGCAAGTGAATGGGGACCTCAAGGGCCAAGAATCTGCCACTTTGAAGACCAAGAGACAGGGCACTTTGATAGATTTCTCTCTAGAGCCAGAATGCCATAGAGGACTTTCCAGAAAAGGCAGCATCAGAAAGGGTAGCTGGTTCATGATTAAGAGGACAAAACACTGCAAGCCTGTTGATGAGAAAAGAGGGTTTGAGCAGAGGCAGGCTATAGAAAAAAAAAAAAAAACGTGGATGGGCATCCAGTAAGTGAATAGCTCGGGTACAAAAAATGGAGGCCGACTCTTTTCCTTAACACCAGGGGCGAGGAAGAGACTTAAAGACTTTTAGTCAAAAAAAAAAAAAAAAAAAATCCTCAGACTATTACAGGGGCCCAAAACTAGACTAATGCATCAGAGAAAAATAGAGGCCTCCAGTCCTGGAGAGCTCTCAGAGGAGAACTACCTTTTTACTCAGGATGGCTTAGGTGGACACATTAACAACTCAAGGAGGCTACTGACAAAAAGCCTTTCTGTATCTGAGCAGAAAAATAGTGTGTGGTTTAGTGGATCTAGATCATGGGGGAGTGTGTGCTCCCCAGAGAAGGTCTCCACCCCCTGTATACACAATCTTAGCTCCAACCAAAACAAGCAGCCTTTTCACTCAGCTAGAAGGTCTAAGAACCATGCCATCAATTTCATGTAAATTACTGGCACCCTTGCCCCCAGCTGAGCTGCTTGCTAGGCAAACAGTGGCTCCTTCCTTAGATGTAGACACTCAATCAAATGAATGGAAATAGCCCTGCCCACAGACTGCCGTCTCAGCCCCCTATTGGAGGTAATGCAAGGGACTGTGGGCCTTTCAGGGAAGTGGGTGTGTCACTGTCCGCCTTCAGTTTTGGCTACCTGAAGTTGCTTATTTTTCTTTGGTCTATATGGGCTCAGTGAGGCTCGCATTAGTAAACATGGAAAAGGTCCAAAGTTAAAAAACAAACAAACAAACAAAAACCCTTTGCCTGTAGCTTTTAGCACTGGTGCAAAGTGAGGTCCCCCGCCCAGGAACATCAGTTCCCACTTGGGTACTTGTTAGAAATTCAAATTCTCAGGCTCCGCTTCAGACCTGCTGAATCAGGTACTCTGGGGGTCTAGCCCAGCAATCTGTGTTTTAACAAGCCCTCCAGATGATTCTGGCTGAAGTTTAAGAACAACTTTAAATCAGATTAGATTGTAACGGGCAGTTTAATTAATTCAGTCCAAACAGATTAGAGAATGGTAGATGTCTTCTGGGCCAACTGGTAAGCTCTGGTGCCTTGTGAGAATTAGAAAGACATCCCTCTGGGCAGATTCAGGAGGTGCTCTTGGCTTAGGGCTGAATTTTAGTCCCATTGACCTCCTGGCCGTGTGTTTGTACGTATACAACCTACACCATAGGCATGGCACCCCTGGATGTCTTTCTCCTTAATTAAGCTAACCACCTCCAGTGCTTAATTAAGAAGAAGGAAGAAAAAAAAAAAGGACATTGTAGATGGTGGTTGATCTTTTCTTACCGAAGGATTAATTTGTATCATTTCTGAGTCTGAGCATATGGCTGTCACATAACTAATTCCCTAAACAAATTTTATTCTGTTCATGTTCCTTGTAAAGTATAACCATGTACATTGTTGGAAGAGTTGAGGTGTTTTTGTGTTTTTTTTTTCCCCAAAGCCTTGATTGGTCTTTATCCATGAGCCTTGGGTCTCTCTTGCATGACTGGAACACTAATCAGAGAAGAAACAACACATGTCAGAAGATGGGGTGATAGGGGGGCAGATAAAAATAGGCAGCGCAGTTTCACAAAAACATAGTTTTGCTTCACAAATCTGACAGTATTTTGAGAGAGGAACAAAGGATTACCAGAGAGAGGCTGTGATTGAGTGGAACCTCATGAATGTCTTTGAAGTCCAGACCGTTCCAAAAAGGTATAGGGGGTAGTTCTGGTGAGTATAGATGAAAGTCCCTCATGAAAGTGGCTTAGAAATTATTCTGGAGTCCCTAGAGCAGGCCTAATAATGAAGGAAGCAAGCTCAAAGTGGAGAAAGAAGCCTACTTAAGGACTAGCATTAGCTGGTTGAGTTCACCAAGCCAGCATTGTCCAATGGCTTTCGGGTTCCTGAAATACGAATTTCAGTGCCATGGCTCTTAGGCAACAATTTTATGTGTGTGTGCTTAATGTTCATTTTTCTGGGGAGAGAACTCATAGCTTCTCATCAGATTTTCAAAGAGATCTGTGACTCTCCTCTACCTCCCCAAATTAAGAACTATGAAAAAAATCATTACTGTACATTGCAATT